GTGATTTTCAGTGGAAGAAATATGGGCAAAACATGTCCAGTGTTAACATTACATCTGGTGAGAAAAATTTAAGAATCCTGAGATCATTGTTGTCGGATTATTAAAGCTACTGTATTACTGAATTCTTTCAGTCAGGTGTCAGTGATTTTATGGACCAACCTGTATATCTTTCTTGGCAGCAATACAGAAAGAATTAGCCCTTATTTTTCTTCTGGAATATTTTTGCAACTTCTCAGTTACTGTCAAGTTTTCCTGTCCAAGAACTTGTTAGGATGGACCCATTGGCCCGGCTAGGTAGTTCAGTGGCTAATACGCTGAGTTTCTTGATCAGAAAGGTTGTCAGTTCGGCGGCTCGAATCTCTAGTATAGGTCTCCTGCTTGAGCAGGGGATTGGACTAGATGACCTCCAAGGTTCCTTCCAGCTCTGTTACTGTTAATGGTTCACCGACAAAAGGGCACCCGATGAAACCATGGTGACAAAACCGCGAGTTCTAAACCGCGCCGACAAATGAGCGCTGAAGCGTGCCGGCAACAGTGCGCCGACAGAAGCGCGCTCTAACCCTAACCCTGACCCTGACCCTGACTCTGACCCTAACCCTTACCTTAACTTAAATCGCGTTTCTGTCGGCGCGTTGATAATGTTGCGGTTTTCGCACTGCGGTTTTGTCGGCGCACTTTTGTCGTGCACGCATTTGACGGGTCACGACTGTTAACTGTATTTCATGAAACCAATGTAATATTTGCAAAGGTAGATTGAGAAATCAATTAATCTAATATTTATTATGGTCACAGAGCATCATAAGAAGGTGGGATGTTAAAATGTTAATTTGAAAAGCTAAAAATATAAAATGCACAAAGTTAAAAAAAACTTAATTGAGAAATGTGCAAGGATATTGCTACTTCCTCTAGCCAGTAGATGTTTACTCCACACTCCATTCCAACAAGACCATAGAATAGTGTCTCGTGTGAGGAAGAGGAGAAGGTGGTATCCTTTCAAAACAGCGGTTCAATCTCACCATGCTTGTTTTCTCAGTGAGTGCTCTGTTGCAAAAAGATTCTTGGTGAAAGGTAGACTGTTCCCTCAGGTTTATGTTTTGGGCATATAGATTCTTTCTCTACCCAAGCACTTAAATAGATATAGCACAATATTAACAGAATTGCTCTGTTTTCCTTTTTCCCAGTTCCCACAATCGTGCAACTGTAAGGTTTAGCCTCCAGTGCCATAATGAGCTTTGTTCTTCTCTTCACTCTTTCTAAAATCTCAACATCCATTTTGTATTGTGGTAACCAAAATTGGATGCAGTATTCCAAGTATGGTCTTAGCAATGCAGTATCAAAACAGTTCTAACATTTTATCTATCACTAACTACTACTATTACTAACAGGTGGGTTCCTGACAGTTCTAACCTATTCTATAGAAGAGGTTCCACAAATCTACAGTGCCGTTTAGAACCGGTTCCAGTTCCCTCCCCCTGCCCGTCCGCACATCAGCAAGATGAAGAGTGAGAGGAGGAATTCTGGGAGTTGAAGTCCACAAGTCTTAAAGCTGTCGGGTTTGAACACCCCTGGGTTTTTTCCCCCCTAAAGGGTTAGGGGTGCCAGGGTCTTGTAACTTGACAGCTTTAAGACTTGCATGCTTTAAATTCCAGAGTTTCTGAGCCAACATTTTGGTTGCTAAGCAAGAACATCATTGAGTTTCATCACATTTTACAAGTTGGCCACGCCCACCCAGTCACATGGCCGGCAAGCCATTCCCACAAAGCTGGCCACACCTACAGAAGAGGTTCTAAAATATTGAAACCCACCAGTGATTACTAACTACTACCACTCTGTTATTGCAGGATTTCATTGGGGATTTTTTTTTGGGGGGGGGGGGAGGCGGCAACTGCAGCACACTAGTGCATACTTTAATGAGTGTCCACTAGGACTCCTAGATCCCTCTCATAGATTCTACTGAATCAGCAGCAGTTCTGTTGTTGAGTCACCTACAGTATTCAATACTAATTAATTTAGTTTTTCTTGCCTAAGTGTAAAACCTTTCTTTTCTCACCACTGAATTGCATTTTTTTTTAATAGGACCCAGTGTTCAAGTCTGTCAAGATCCTTCTGGATCTTGAGTTTATCTTACAAAGTTTTGACTATTCCTCCCAGCATGGTGTCATGTGTTGACCCTCTTATCTCTTCATATAAATCATCTATGAAGATGCTGAAAGTATTGGACTTAACTTTGTGGTACTTTGCTGCATGTTTCCTTCCATATAGATGTAACTCCATTGAGAACTACTAATTGAGTGCAGTTAGTCAGGGAGTTACAAATCCATCCAGTGGCCTCACATTTTTCAATCTTACCAAGAAGAAGGTTGTAGTCTACTTTGTTAATTGCCTTATTGCCTAAGTCCAAGTATATCATCTGCACAGTATTTTGCTGATCCACCAATTTAGTCTCTGTTAAAAACATGCAATAAGATTTGTCTGCCATGATCTTTGATAAAGCAGTTTTGGCTTCTAGTAATGGCTTTGTTTGTGTCTACGTATTTGCAGATCTGTTGCTTGATTATCTTTTCCAGGATCTTTCCAGGTATGGATACTAGGCTCATTAGTCTATAGTTTTCTGAATCCATTGTTTTCCTTCATTGAAGATTGAAACCACATCAGCTCTTTTTCAGTCCTCTGGTAGTTCCCCAGTGCTGCAGGATTGTTTCAATGGTTCTGATATCATGTCAGCCATCTTCTTCAGAACTCTAGTCCTCATGATTTAAACCCCTTGAGAGTGGATAGGTGTGGTCCTACCATTTTCCTGCCTACTTTGATTTATATTCCTAATCTGTCTTTTACAGTACTGCTTTTGTTAGGTTCAACTATTTTTTTCTTTTATGTAAAGAGCTATGCAAAGAATGAATTAAGCAGTTCTGCTTTCTCCCTGCTACCTGCTACCTCCTTGCCATCTTCTCTCATTAGTAAAATGATCATTTCCTTGACTTTTTTCTTATGTTTTATATGTTGAAACTTTAAAAAAAATTTTTGACATTGTTGCAAGTTTTAGTTCATTCTGAGCCTTAACTTTCCTGACTTGAACTTTGCAGATTCGGGTTATTTGCTGATATCCTGCTTTATTTATGTTTCTCCCTCTCCATTTTTTTATAGTTATCCTTTTTGCCTCTCAGTTTATTAGAGAGTTCCTTATGCAGCCATGCTAATTTCATCTGGAATCTCTTACTTTTCTTTCTCCGTGAACTTTTATAATCTCCGTTTTCAGAATTTTCCAAGCTTCTTGAGATGTTTTCTCTTTTAAGATTTCCATTCATTGAATCCTTCCCAAGCTTTCTAAGTTTGTTGAAATCAGTTCTTTTAATGTCTAAGACACTAGGTTGACACTATTCTATTGCTTGTTTATTCATTATATTGAATTCTAATATGATATGGTCACTTTCCCCCCAGGTTCCCATAATTACAACCTCCTATATCATTTCATTTCTGTTAGTACCATGTTTTCCCGAAAATACGACCTGTCCTGAAACTAAAGTCTTGCCACATATTTCAGGTGGGCAAAAATATTAGCCCCCCTGAAAATAAGCCCCCTGGACAATCCCCCCCTCCGGCCAGGCAGAGCACCGCTCACCGACCTAGCGGTACCCGGAAGGCACCTAACAACGTGAGCACCTGTTCACCGCCCTCTACCTCCTGCAGCTCGGCGTCTTCAGAATGCCCCTAGGTGAGTGAATGGGGCTCTGCATGGCTTTTCTGCTCCCTGCTCATGCGACTCGCAGGCTCACGATGCCCTTGGCTAACTCTACAGTACCTGCAGAGCCAGGGCATCTCCGCTGCTGGCGCCGCCCGTCGCTTGGTTTTTTTTTTTTTCAGCTTTCAAAACACGGAGGACAGATGCCACTCTGGGAGTATGCTCTATGGTTGTGGGCTGCAGAGCATACAACCGTATACTCCCAGAGCGGCATCCATCCTCCGTTGCGGCTTCCGAAGCACGGAGGTAGGACACCGCTCTTGGAGTAAGCTCTATGGTTGTACGCTGGCATAGAGTGTACTCCCAGAGCGGCATATGTCCTCCGTGCGTTGAAAGCCACAAAAAAACAAAAAACCCACAAGCAGCGGGCTGTGCCAGCAGCGGAGATGCCCTGGCTCTGCAGGTACTGTAGAGTTAGCCAAGGGCATTGTGAGCCTGCAAGTCACGTGAGCAGGGAGCAGAAAAGCTGCTTGTGCAACCGCCCCCTCCAGCCATGCAGAGCCCCATTCATTCACCTAGGGGCATTCCGAAGGCGTTGAGCCGCGGGAGGTGGAGGGTGGTGAACAGGTGCTTGTGTTGTTTGGTGGCTTCTGGTACCACTAGGTCGGTCAGCAGTGCTGTGCCCGGCTGGAAAGGGGGGTTGCCGAGTGGCTGCTCGTGAGCATGGTCACTTCATGACTGCTGTGTTGCTGCTGCGGCAGTGCAACACAGCCATTTGACCCTGAGGCTGTGCCTGGCTCTTCGGGAGCCTGCTCTCAAGGGATCAGCCGCCCGGCAACCCAAAAACAATAAGCCCTCCCCTTTAATAAGCCCAAGGCCATATTTTGTGGGTTAGAAAAATATAAGACTCTGTCGTATTTTCGGGGAAACACGGTAAGGGTTAAGTCCAGTATTGTTGATGCTCTAGTTCCCTTCTGTGCCTTTTGGGCAACAAAGTTGTCTGTTAGATTTGTCAGGAACCTGTTTGATCTCCACTTGGTATAGAGTATGTTTCTCGGTTGATATAAAATCCCCCAATACTATTGTAATGTACTTCCTGTACACTTTAGCTAACTGATTAGCATCTCTTTCCCATTTGGTTCAATGGTCTGTAGTATACACCTATGGCAATATCATTCAAGAAATTTTTAGCCTTTTTTGCATTTCTATAGAGGTGTAGTTATTTCTTATATACAATTAAAAAAATTAGTTCTGTTTCTTTCTTCTATTGCTAGCTTCCCCTAGTAACTATTATTTTATATTCCTATCTTGGTTCTTGCTGATGTACTTCTTTAAATGTATCATAGATGCCTTCAGACCTGGGATAAGATACACTTTTAATGTGTATGGAATTCAAGATGATAGAAGTTATTTACTGGAAAAGAAGGCTAAATATCTCAAAGAACTGGGTAAGTTATGCTAAAATTGTATGTGTTAAATTAAGATACATGGATTTTTTTTAGATTTGATCAATCTGTGAATTACTTCCTATATTTTTTCTCAAGATTGTCACAGTCTTCCCAACATTCCATGTAGTCATAATCACAAAATATTAATCTGTGCAAAGCACTGGACACTTAGGTAGGATGGCCAGATACACAGGAGCAAGGAAGATTAAAAATAGGAGAAATTGTGAGACTTAATATCAACAATCGACGTATGTGATAGGAAGATTATAGCTGAAAATAATTGCTGAACAGTTGCCTAACTAAATAAGGCCTGGTCAGCAGACCTTAATTAGCAAAATTAGCTTAGTTCCATTTTTTTTATTTTCAAGATTTCTGATGGTTAGTTCTCAGCATGCAGTCTTGCACTAAGCACAAATAGAAATGTAATTTTAATGTAAAAACTAAGGATTAAACCTACAGCGAACACATAGTTAATGTTGTCATTTTCCTATTTTTACAGAACCAACAGACAGCCTCTCACTTAATATAGATAAAATTACTATGAATTCATTAACAGTAAGTTGGAGACGTTATGATCAAGAATTCAGGGCTGGTTTTATTAGAGGTTACATACTTTACATGAAAAAGAATAATCAAAGCTGTACAGCAAAAGAATCCAAACTATTAATACATGCAGGTAAGTGATCCTCTTTCTCCAGAATAATATGTATTTAAGGGAGATATGAATATTATTTAGGAATTAGTAGACAGTCCTAAGCACAGAAGATGATGAAACAGTCCATAAATTGTGGGTTTTTTTCATGAACAAATGAATGTAATTGAAGAGGAAAACATAAATTCAAACTCATGTTGTCATGGTGGCATCACGTGATGTATTGGGACTTTCTCTCCCTTTGCTAAATCAGGCGTGGGCGTGGCTAGCGTGTGATGTAACTGGCCCACGGGCCGGGAATTTGACAGCCCTGGTCTAAAGCAATGTTTCTCAACCTCAGCAACTTTAAATTGTGTGGACCTATGGCTAGGTAATTCTGGGAGTTGAATTATCACCATCTAAAGTTGCAAATATTGAGAAACACTACTCTACAGAATTGCAATGGAGGAAAACCTGGATGGGGAAATTGGAAGCATGCGTTGATTTTGAAAGGGCTCCCATATAATCTGCTCTTGGTTTTTTCTGAATGCCTTTTCAAGAGACTGATACAGACTTTTTGTGATCTTCAACACTACACTATTTCTTTTTAAAATTACCTTAATTGATGCTCTGCTTTTAATCGGTTGCATTGTTTAATTTCTACTGTTAATGCTAGAAAGTTCAGGCTACAGTAGGGGGTTACCAATGTGCTGGTACATGCATTGTGTTAAGCTAATTTTAAAAGCCATTGAACAAATAGTTTAGATGATCTATAAATACTGTTGACAATCATTATGGCTTGGGTTTTTTCAGAAACAAAGATACTATTTCTCCTAAATAGGTTAGGACTAATAAGTCATATGAATGTAGGCAAATATATATATGTCCCAGGATAGGTTCCACCACAAAACCGCGAAGCCCTTATCCGCGCCGACATAAGTGCGGATGCAAATCCGCGCCATCCGAAGTGCTAAGAAAAACATGACCCTACCACGATGACATAACCGCGGAGGGCAAATCCGCGCCTACCGAAGCACCCTAAACCTAACCCTAAACCTAGGGGCTCGCAAGCGAGGCGGCGACGTGCGGCGGGGGGCAGGCCGCCCTCTTCTTCCTCAACAACATCTAATTGGATGGGTGGCGGCCGCCGCCGGGCAAGCCCGCTTCGCCGGCCCCGGGAGAGCCTCAGCCGCTGCCACGTCCTCCTCCGCCGCTGGC